CCCCAAAACCCCAAAACCCCACACACTTTTAATAAAGTCATTAAATTAAGATGAATAAAAACTGATAAAATAAAAAAATCATAACTAATTTAGAGTTGGTTTCATATTAATATTCTGGTATCCTTGAGAATCCATCGAATTGTTTATAGAGTGCTTTGGTTTTTCAAGTTTAATCAAAGGCAAATTCTTAGCTGGATTATTGATTTCCCTTATGGGTATTTTATATCTTTCATAAAATGATTGAATAATTGGAGTCTTCCCATTTACTGATAGATTTAATGATTCTTTATTCAAATTTTATAGCACAGTGTTTCTTGACATTGAATTGTTTAAAATAACCTCTTTGCTATTTTTCTACTCTTTTTCCTTTTTCTTCAAAGTTTTATAAACCTTAAAAACCTGTTGCTTTTTATCATCTATTTCCTCCTTATTAGATTCTAAAATAGTTTGGCTAAACATTTAGGCATCCCCTCGACTTGTATCAATCATTAATCTCTCCTTCGAAGAGTTTTTAAAGCTGCTGAGTCTTTCGTAAGGATTAAGATAAATCTTATTTAATTTTTCTATGTGCCTTTTGTTGGATATTTTAACTTCAAAAAATTTCTATAGTTCCTCAATTTTAACTTTGCTATCAAAAGTTTTATACTATAGGTTTCTATTATTGCTATCTTTATAAGTTAAATCAGTAGTATTGTTAAATTCTTCTCTAGTTAGAGCAGCAGTTGATTTCAAATCATAAGTCATTGAATCCAATTAATCCATAATTTTGGGACTCAAATTCCTCTAATTTTTAAGATTAGTTACCATCTCTCTGATTTATACAATTTTTTCCTTCTCTTATTTCTCTTCTTCCTTACTACTTTGTTTCTTAATACTTTCCTTCAACTTCTCTTTTAAGATACAGCATATTCTCTTACGCTCCTCGCTATTTTGCTCGTTTATATAATTTTTATAAGCAGATATCCTAGACAGCTTGTAGTGACCTCTGCCTATAGCTTATTCATCCAGTTTAACAAGATCAACAGTGTTATTTAGGTTAACTACCTAATTCTTTTTGCTAATATACTTAAAAAGTTTCAGTTTTATCAGAGATTCCTCGTCAATAGATCCAAATAATGTGGAGCTATTCTATCCAAGAATTTTATTACTCTAGTCAAAATCTTTTGATATTGCAAGAATTTATTGCCTTGATGGACTTAGTGATAAGTGCTAATCTGGTAAACGTTAAATACTCTAGACATTCTTAGATATATCTACTCTTGAATCGATCTTGTCTTTATTTGAAGGGATATTACCAATGAAATTGTGATTAACTCCATCTCTATTCCTATTTGAAAGAGGCATTAGAAACTTCAAGTTCTATTCTCTCTCAGTCATCATCTAAGGTAGTTTATTAAACCGATCAGAGAAGGGTCCTTAATTTCAAGTGATTGAGTTATTGTCTATCTATTATAATTGCTCTTTTAAGCTGATTAACTCATTCTAAACTTGACTCTTGTTTGAGAATTTTCTTTATGAATCAATAGTGTGCGATTTATAATTAGCATTTCAGTCTATATATGTAGAATTATTTATTACTCTTGATCTTGGACTAGTTTACTGGATTAGTTCCTGATAATCCTTAGTATGAATGTACCTTAAATTTTTAAGATTTAAGAGGGCTCTTGAACTTTCATTTCTTATGTCATTTGATGATTCATTCCTGCTGACATTTTGAGTACTATCTAAATTTATCTGCAAATCACCTATTTGATTTTAAGCTTTTATCAATTATGGTAGCTTGACTAGATTCGTCTGCAAGTTTCCTCGAGAACTATCAAATTTGCTATTGCTTTTTATATTTAAGTCTTAAAATTCTCCTTGTGAATCGTCATGCTTGATTGAAAAATCAATGCCATCTAAATCTTTATTTCTCAATTTACTAATAATATTCTTCCTGTTTCTCTGATATCTTCTATTGATTTAGTTATGATTACTTTTCATATTTTAATGTTTAATTCTACAGTATATTTTTAATCTTTTTATTTCTATTAATTAGGACATTAATTTTTAAGAAAATTGAGTGATCTGGGGTTTTGGGGTTTTGGGGTTTT